GATCCATGCATAGTAGGGATGACTTGGTTTGTGGAAGGCACATTTGATTTGCTGGGGGACAGCTTGGAGGTAGAGCATGAGGATGAACAAGACCTGTAGTTCCAGGTCCTGGAGAAAGAAAGTCAAGACAAAAGGACAGTGGTGATTTAATACTTCATTGAATACACAGTTATAGAGGGGGTGGGCTGTGATTAGATGTCTGTGGGCCACCTGGCCTGTAGTCAGACCTTTTGTCTTCCTTTGTTTATATTTTAACTAGTTTGTGATTTTGAGCACGTGCCACTTACTTTAGGAGGATGAAAGAATATACAAGCTATTCTCTGCTTGCCTTATTTGAAGATCTACACAATAGTTTGTTTCAGTCATTTCAAATAAGAATTTACCTTTCATTCATATACTCTGTAATATACTGACCCCTCGCTCCTCAGCAAGAGCCTATAAAGAGTTAGTTTGGTGAATATCATGTGATGCCCCAAGAATGGTTGGAGGACCTTTGCTTCTACCTCCTAACAAATTACTCCGTCAGTTTCACTTAATTCAGACCCCAAGTAGTCAACTATGAGTAGTTAGTTTACGGTGGAATAGAGTTGTGTTTAAGGGAAACTTACCCATTCTGATGCTCCACCCCTGTCTCCACACTACCACTGTCAAGAACTAATTCACTCTTTGGCCAACAAACTAGCCATCAATTGATAGCCTATTCAGGAATGCATTTAATATAATAATCAAAAACTCCACCTTTAAAATACTCACTTTATGCAAATGAAGAAGTGCTATCAAATCTACTTAGAAAACTGTGTGTGTGTGTGTGTGTGTGTGTGTGTGTGTGTGTGTGTGTGTGTGTTTTAGAAACACTGTTATAAAATTAGGGCTGCTTCTGATAGTAAACAGAAGTGTGTTTCCTTTTTATAATTTAAATTTCTCAATTATTTATTGCATCAGTCATACAGCAACACCAGTTTTCTTACCTGCGTTTCACCGGTTTAACTTTCCGGCATCACATATACCAGCTCACCACCAGAGGTCTCCTCTTTCCATGTAGAAAGCATCCCAACTGTTGCTGCCTGGTTTCAAGCAGGAAGTGTTCTCAGAAGTCAGTCAGCAAAGCTGAAGTTGAAAATGTAAAAACTCACCAAATTTTAAGTCTTTATTTCTACATATAAATTCAATTTTTACTATAACTCGGTATAAGGATAACAGCTAATGTTTTTATAAATCATAGCTGAAATAAAGCTGGCCTTACTTTTATTTAAGCTGGATTAAAAAATGAACCAAAATGACTCCAGCAGAAGTATTGAGGGCTCGGAGTGCTCTTCCATTTGCTGAGTGACAGAATCTCTGGCCTGACTGTTTCACATGGGTAGCTGGCCACTGAAGAGTGCTCATCAACAGATACCGGTAAACTTTTGCATCATGTTGAAAAAATGGAAATAAGTAGTCCTTGTTCCTCTTTTAGCCCTGCCTGCTCCTCTCCCTGCCTAATCTTCTTCACTGAAAACTCTTTTAGTTTGTGAGACAGGGTCTCACTGTGTAGTCCTGGGTGGAGCTTACTAGGTAGACCAGGCTGGCCTTGAACTCACGGAGATCTGCCTCTGCCTCCCAAGTGCTGGGATTAAAGGAGTCAGCACAGACTGCTTGAAAACTCTTAATCACTGTTTAAGACTCAGCTAAGAAAAAATCTCTAGTATGAATCCTTCCTCACCCTTTTAGGCTTTCACGCACCGTCCGTGCCTCCAAGTACCACATTGGCTAGTGCTTGTGTTTCCCTGTCGTCTGTCTTCTCCATTAGACCATGGAGTCTACGAGGACAGGATGGGGGTCTTTCTTTGTACTTCTCTTGCTGCTGCTTTGTCTCACCATTGGTTTGTACTAAGTATAGCAAACATTCAGTGAGCATTTATGAATGAATGAATGAATGAATGAATGAATGACTAGGTGGGATTCACTCATTTAAATGAGAAGTTGGATAAGCTTTTGACAGATGAAATTGGGGGTGGAATTAATAGAGGGAACAGCCTGGGTAGAGGATGAAAAAGCATAGATTTGTAAGTGAAATTGGCAACAAAGGAGTTGTCCGGGTGGACATAGGTGGAGAGAGCTTTAACAAAAGTCTGGCAAGGCTGAGACTGCCGATGTGGTGGAGGCAGATTGGTGGTGATGACGACAGCCTTGGTAGAAAGATGGAGATAAAGATGGAGTCTGAGAGGTACCATCAGTTGAATAGTTGAGTACTTGCCTAACAGGTACTCAGCCCTGTGATCAATTCCCAACAACTGTCAAAAAAGGAGGGTTGGGGAAGACCAGAGGAGGAAGGGGAGGTGTGAGAAGAGCAGGTGGGCCCCAGATTCCATCAAAAAGGAGGGGTTGGGGAAGACCAGAGGAGGAAGGAGAGGCGTGAGAAGAGCAGGTGGACCCCAGATTCTGTTATCAGGCCTCAACATCCCACTGTTTCCTCAGCTTTCACATGCTTCCCACTCAGGCACTTTTTAAGTCGTCTTCTCCCTTTTGAGTTCTAGAATCATCCAGGGCCCCGACTGGTAGGGAAGAGCACTAGGTTCAAATGCAACACTGACACGAATTAGCTCTGAAACATTGAGCAAGTTCCTTTAGAGCCATGCATTTATTAATGCCCCACCTTGTTCCAGAAAGGATTTAGAGTGTCAGCATGTTACTTAATATCAAGGCTTCAGTTTCCTCATCTCTAAAGGAGAGGTTTCATGTAGCTGACCTAAGTTCCTTCCAGCTCTTACACTTTGTGACTCTGATTCCAATGATGATGTTGGCCATCTTCCCTTAGGAGTCCTGCCAACACTTCCTATTTAGACTAGGAAAAGCTAAAAGGAAAAAGAAGTGAGCCCACAACCCTGACCCACTGTTTACTTATAGCGGTGTGTATGTGTGATGTGTGTGTGTCTGTTTGTGCTCACATGTGTGTGTTTGCATGTGGAGGTCAGGGTCAACATTGAATGTCCTCAGTCTCTTTCTGTTGTGGGCTATCCACTAGACACATGGGTTTAAGCCAATAGAAAGTCTTTATTAGCTAACTGGTGACTACACTGAATATTCAGGATCCCAGTGTAGCCCCAAGGCTTTCTCAGGGTGAGCTTTTAAGCACAAAAACCATATCCTTTATTGACATACTTCAGTTAAAAACAACAGTTAGCCAGAAGTGGGATGACAGAAGCCAAAAAGCAAGGTTGGTGTATTTACCAACTGTGAATTCTGATGGATTGGGTCTTTGTTTTCATTTTGGCTAGTGGTGCTGTCTGTGTGCTGAGTATTATGGCCTGAGTGGTATTTCCATCATGGGGTCAGTTGTGCTAAGTTCTGAGGCCCTGTTACATTTCTACCTTATTTCTTAGAGGTTCTCACACTGAATCTGGAGCTCGCCAATTAGGCTAGACTGGCTGGCCAGTGAGGGATCTTTCTATGTCTACTCTCCCACCACTGGGATTATAGGTGCATGCTGCCAAATAGGCTTTTTACATGACTGCTGGGGGTCCGAACTCAGGTCCTCACGCTTGTGGACAAGCACTTTACTCAGTGCACCATCCTTGTTATTGGCTTCTGATAATGACATCACCATCCTGCCAGTGATCCAGGACCAAGGCTTAGTATCATCTTCAGGTCTTCTAGCTCTTATTTCTAAATGTCCCTTACTGAGCCATATGGAATCTTAGCTCTACCATTCTATCCTTCTGTGGCTAAGCCTTTTCCTATACAGCCCTTGCTAGCTATTTCTGTACCATTCTGACTTATTTATTTATTTTGAAACAGACTGTAGCCATATTGTTTGGGTTAGCCTCCAGTTCCTGTGCTAAAGTGAGCCTCCTGCCTCAGCCTCCGAAGTAGCTAGGATTATAGGACCAGGTCACCATATCTGACTTGAGCTGTGGTCTTGATGCTGCTGTCTGAGTGAATTTCCCAGAGCACAGCTTCAACGAAGCCAGTTCTCTGTTCTGGTATCTCAGTGACTCCCTGCTGTCTGCAGAACGTGGTCCAGAGAGCCTGGCTGCGGCCTGAGCTATGACCTGGTGGAGCAGACTCTTCTCTTCTTGACCTTCGTGGACAAACCAAACCGACCTACAATATGCCTTACTTTCCTGCCTTGGCTTATAATCTGTCATAACTTACCTGGCTTTTTTGTCTGTTGAATCATCTCTATCCATATTTTAGCTCTTTCAAGGCTTGTATCAAGTCTTGTCATTTATTTTAACTACTTGGTGACTCGGGCCACTCCATCCTGGACTAACTTATAATTTCCCCAAGGACAGAGACCACATTTTACTTTTCTTGCAACCCTAACCCTCACACCTGGCCCACTGCTAGAGAACCTGAACTGAGATAAACTGAGACTTAATCAGGAATTATTTTCTCAGCTCATGGCTGGAAATCATCTGAACAAATCATCTCTTTTCACAAATGAGAAAATCCAGGGTCAGAGAAGTGAAATTGCTTGCCCAGACTTCTCAGCTGCCTGATGTAGGTTTGTGTGTGCTCTGGCGACCCACTTGTGTCTTTATCCTAAATAGACCTGCTTTTATTTTCCTTTCCCTGCTTGGATGGAAACACTGTCACCGTGTCACATTGTTCCTTACGGGACTGTAGTTTGTCATTTTGTTTTTGAAATGTATATTGGAAGTGGAGCTGGTTTGAGCAAATCTATAGTTATATAAAAAAAATAAACATTAAGGGGCAACACTGCAGACAATTAAGGTTCAAACAATGAAATTTAAGATAGAAGGGACCTTAGACATCATCTAGTCCCAACCTCTCATTTTGAGTAAATAAGAAACAAACAAAACCCAAGAATTGGAGACAGGAGTGGCTGGTCAATAACATGAACTATCGGTACAAGGATTGACACTGAAGCTGTGGGATAGTTACTAGATGTATGGGACTCTGGCTGATGAGTTCATGGGGGTCTGTTTTGTGTGTCTAGATCAAATGATGTGGGGCTCTGGTTGATGAGTTCATGGGGGTCTGTTTTGTGTGTCTAGATCAAATGATGATGTTTGGAAAAATTTCGAGGCAGCTCTGCAGCTTAAAGAAAAGCCCACGGTCATGTGACTCCAGATACTTCTGGGAATGGTTAAATACAGTGTTTAACAAGTAAGTGACTCTAATTAAGTGAAGAAATGTGGGGATTTTTATAACTGGACAGGTTCTAAATTGCTCTTTGGCTAATTGGTTATTTCTTGTGTTTCAAATTATTTTTCTTTTGAACAATATGCATAGTATGATCCTAATTTTTTTTATAAACAATAAAACATAAACAGAAAAGTACCTTATAAAATATTAAATTGCTTGTCTGGGATACAGAATATTAGTGTATTTTTATTTTTTAAGATTTTTTCATTTTTACTTTATGAGTATGTGTGTTGGCTGCATGTATAGAAGGTGCATCACATGTGTGCCTGGTGCCCACAGAGGTTAGAAGGGTATCATTTCCTGGAACTGGAGCTGCAGATAGTTGTGAGCCGCCATGTAGGTGCTGGGAACTGAACCCAGGTCCTCTATAAGAGCAATAAGTGCTCTTACCCAGTAAGCCATCTCTCCATTCCCAAGTGGGTTTTTTCTTATTTTATTCTTATTTCTGTTGATGCCCTTCAAATGATCTAAAACAAATTTTTATTCTTTTTTATACTCAACAGTATATGTAACTTTGAAATAGCTCATTCTCTTTCTTCTTAAGGAATGTTATTAGCATTTTGAGTCCTACTAGGAGAACTCTGGTGTTTAAAAACATGCCTTTTGCCGGGCGGTGGTGGCGCACGCCTTTAATCCCAGCACTCGGGAGGCAGAGCCAGG